TTCCCAGAAGTGAGATGGTTTTCTGCTTACCCAAGTTTACAACAATTTATAATTGATTTTAATAAACTTCCTTTGAAATACAATCAGTATAATATTTCTGGCAGTGACTTTTATTTAACGACTTTCGGTCCGAACGCATGTTGCACTTTGCCGTTGTTGTTGCTGTTGTTCATTTGATTATCGCCACTGTCGCCATGTAATTTATTATATTGGCTTAACCAAAAGTATCCCCGAAACCTGGACCTCTTTTTTATGGCTTTAACCTTTGGGGTAACCGCCGCGTTGCTGACATTATTTAATTTGTCATTTAATTTTCGAGTTGCCCTTTCTTTCCACTTGAAATCGACCATATGTTTTGCAGAATTTATATGTACATATATACTTATAAGAAAGTTTTGTAAGGGAATATCTGTATATGTGCAGTGACAGATATATGAGCTTCCGCGAAAGGTGATGTGTATTTGACTTTTAGCCCAAAGCTGTTATTTATTTTTTGGCTTCGTTTGAAGGGTTTATAATTGTTTAACCTTTGCTTTCTCTGAATAAATTCATGTATAAATTGGGAAATAACTCCCTTTATTTATTGGATAAAAGAGGAATACTTTCTCAAAAGAACATTATTTAAATAATATTGAACATTTACTTTATAAACCTGCACAAGCTTTAAAACTGTCACAATACTCTATAATAATTATATAGAAATTTAATTAATTAAAGGCATTCATTCACGGTGTTTTAATCATCTCTCTCTCCCGCCCCGCTCAATTTATTATCTCGAATTTAATTTGAATCGCGGTATCGCCCACCGTCAGCGCTGCGGCGAAAATGCCAATGCCAAAAAAGTCGCTAAATCATTTCTTAATTGCTCAATTTGAAAACAAATGCGACCATTTAATTTAATTGTGTGGACTGTTAATTGAGTCGTAGTCGCCGATGCCTTTTATTTCTGCACGAATGCAGGCCCCAGTATCGGCCACGCCCCCCAGCTTCCCAGCCCCCAGTTCGATATACGTTGTTAGATAATGCCCAGGAAAACTTGTTGTGAGCCAGCCTGCCCCGTTTCATTTTCGGCATTTTTTGGCCAGGCAATTAAATCCCAAAAACAAAAAAAAAATACAACAAAAAGCGAGGCACACACACACACAAGCATTGGAAAATGAAAACTGCGACAGTTTTTGGGGCTCAAATGCTCAGCTGCAGTGCCTGTGGGCCGCCAATTTTAATGATTTACAGCAGTAGCTGCATTAGAGGTACACAGGGGGAAATATATAGTGGTTTCTAAGGGATATAATACCAGGAAAATATATTTTAATATTTTTCAGTTTATATCTTTAGAAAATATTTAAAAAAAATACGTTAAAATCTAAGAGAAAAGGCTAAGAATGGGATGAGTAAATTGTTTCTTTTCGGTTTTCAATCTTTTGATAAATGTATTATTTATATTAGATTTGTGATTTAATTAAATCGCAACAAAATATCCTTTTTCCGATACATTTTTAGCTTCCAAAATACCTACAGATTAATTAATTCAAAATTCAACTCTACTCAATAAATTAATTTCAATTATTTTATCTCTGTGCTCCCGTCTTAACTAGCTCTCCCACCGCCTTTCGAGCAGGTGGGTTAGCGATGTCGAAATTTGCATATGGTATTATGCATTATGCGATAATGTGCAATAAATGTCGTGGAATCGGAATTATGTCGCTCTGGCTTTCGGCATTTGAGATACAAGCCTGTTAACTTGGCCGATAGTGGAAAGCGGAGCGGTGGGAGCCATAAATCTTGAGAGCACTTGCCCGGGCAGGCACAGTGGGCATCATCAATCATCTGCATGCAGATCGATTATTACAATTGCTGACAGACGGACACAGACAGTGAGTCGGCGGCAGCGGCGGTTGCATCTGCGGGCCCTCATTTGTATCTGATGGATGTATCTTCAACCTCCTGCTGCTGCTGCTTTTGGCCGACTCGACTGACTGCAATTCCGCGGAAAAGCCCAGCACAGCTGCAGCTGAGAGCGGGAGACTGACTCCTGCTCGTGTCAAGTCGAGTAAAAGTTCCAAGAAAACCCAAAGCCACTGGCCATGTTCTGTTCCAAAAAAAAAAAAAAAAAAAAAGTGAAGCATTACAACAGCAACTTTGCCTTTGCCATTGTCCGGCACGAAATTATTTTAATGAGTTGCCAATTAGGACCGACTATGGTCTCCACTGAAATAGATCAGTCAGCGAAAGAGGCTGCTAATAAATACCTGCAAGTACCTGTACCTGATTGCGTACACCGGTGAGCAGTGTTCAGCGAACAGGTGTTCACTTCCAGCGAGTGGCATAAATACGAGTGGCTCAGTGGCTGAATGGATACAAAAAAACAAAAAGGGTCCCCTTCTCAATGTCTTGGCTATTTACGAGTCTTTTGGGGAATTGCCTTTGGATCAGCCAATCCTGACAACAGCATCCGACAGCAAGAGGCAATCCTTGGTCCAGAAATCTGCAGGGGAAGTGCCTTGAGCTGGAATGCAGATGCTGCATGCGATTGGCATTGAAAAATGTATATGCAAATGTTCAAGGGTGACAAGGATTATGCCAAGATAATTATAAAACCTAAAAGCGAACTCTATTGTATATTTTACATCATTATGCTTCACAAATCTAAAGAAATTATTCAGATAAGGAGGAGTAGAAAAGGTTTCCTTTAAGACATGATTAAAATAAGAAAAGATAACTAATACTAATAAAGAAATTATTCAGATAAGGAGGAGTAGGAAAGGTTTCCTATAAGTCAAGATTGAAATAAGAAAAGATAACTAATACATATTAGAGTCACAATCTTTACCATTTAAACTTGAATTTTAAACATCCTATGAAAGTAAATCCAAATTTGAATTGAAGAAAAGCCTTTTCCTATTGTCAAAACATTTTAAAATGAATTTCTTTCTTTGAATACATTTTCAAATTACAAAGTTATTATTTTTAAATGTAAAACAAACACAAAACTCATGTGGAGCCCCCGTCAAAGTGCTTTATTTCTCGCTTCTCTCTCAAAACTCGTTACTCAATTAACAAGTGGAGCAAGCTCGTTATTCCCATTTCATATTTCTTTGGCTTTGTTTTTGCTTTTCTTTAACTTTTTCATAATTTCGTATGTTTTTTATTCTTGTGTTTAACACTTTCTGAGGCGCCGCTTATTAACGCGTTTCCTGCTGGCCACGCCCACATCCTCAATTCAAGCGAAAATTGCTTTTCACTCGCTCCCATTCTGTTTGTTATTAATTACACAGTTTCCAAAGACCTTACGCACAGTTTCCAGTTTTCGAGTTTATTCTCTCAGTTTTTTCCCCCTTTTTTTGGCCAATTGAATTATAACGAAGCGAAGACAATGAAAGGAAGATACAGGAACTGGGGGTTTCCACCAAAAAAACAGAAAGAAAAAAGAGATGCCGCGGGTAAGGGTAACATAATGGCGTTTGCTTTCATTATAGCACCGGGCAAGCGTTCACCGGGCATAGCATAAATATTTAAGCAACTGACAATGAGATAACAAACGATGAAATTTATAAGCGCGAAAATTGGGGTCAAAGGCAAAGGAGGCGCGAGCCTCCAGGAGTCAGCACTCAGGATCCTGGGAGAAGCACAAGGCAAATGTTGATAGTCCATTCATCAGTTAGCAGCGGCTAAATTACGTTCATTTTGGCCATAACCCTCACTCCATTTGTTGTCTTTTGGCTAAGAGGGGGAAAGAGTTGGAGAGAGCTGAACGAGTTACTGCGAAAATTCAAGATATAGCCCAAGGGTTCAAGGTGAAATATGGTGTAAATAGGGTTTATATACTCTCTTAGGTACCTGCTACTTTTACCTATAAATTATCAGAGAAATTAAAGGGAATTTAATTAAATCTTATGTATTTAAAAATACATAAAAAGACAAGTTTATAAATTAAAGTGACTTGCCTCCCCTGTTTATTTCATCTTCAATTTCGCTTCGGCTTTTATCAAAAGGACATTATATAGTACATTTATATACCAAAGCGTGGAAATGCCAAAGGCACCCTAAATTATTTATATGAGTGTTGATTTCTGTTTGCTAAATTTGACCTTTTTCTCTTCCCCTTCTGGCGAGTAGAGATGGCCACTTTGAGATAGCGGTGGGCCAGGCTAGGAAAAAGGGTCAAAAACGCAGCCACCGCCACCGTATGTGTTGGCCAGGCTAAAATAGAGGGGGGAAGAGAAAGAGAAATACATAACTCCTCATTCACTCCCAATGCTCGCCTCATTTAACGGCGGCCATAAATATTCTAAATCACCAGCGGGGGCAGCGACGACGTCAGCCTCAAGTTGTTAAGATAATAAAGTTTGTAATTAATTTTGCATCGTTAAATGCGCCGTGACTATCATACAAAGACGCAAATTTCGAATATATTTACTTTGGGTACTGCATTTTTAAGAGTGATTCCAAGTATCTTTCAGTTACTGCAAGTGTAAGTCTAATTGACTTTACTCACGAATCGACAAGTTCCATGGGTTTATAGAAAGAATATTTGTTTTATTCTTGAACCCTTTACATATAGTTTTCCTTTAAGCTAAAATAATAAATAAAAACCAAACTCTTTAAAATTCCTAAAGTGAAAAATTGCCAGCTTATTCCAAGAACTATTTTTAATTACAATTAATTTATTTACTTATTTAAACACACTTGGGGAACGGCTTTAATAGATTTATTTATGCTTCTTTGATGGCCTGCCCTGCCCACTGTATTTCATATTTATGTGTACACTTTATACATACATATTTCATAGTCCACTACCTATTCATATTCATAACTTTTTATGAATTCATCTGCTTTATCGCCATCGCGCCATTAAAATTGCATAATCATAAAAGTATTACATCCACCGTTGATCATCTCGTTTTATTATGCCCATTACACACACATGCTATGCCCTCAGATATATATTTAACAACAAACTGTTTACATTAACTATTTTTTGTGGTTTTCCTGTTTTCCAGATACCGCCGGCGAACTTGGATGGGCATTCACCCTAATCATAGTTTCAATCATATCGGCTCTAATAGGTGCTATTGTAATGGTCATAGTTCTAAGATGTAGGAGGTGAGTACACTTTAATAATTAAAATATATAGTATAGTTAATAAGGAAATATAGGTAAAGAAAATATTTTTAAGATTAGTAAGATCTTTTTAAAGGTTTTTATTTGAAAAGCCGATAAAGAGTTTTAAAAGGGAAATGAATACCAATTTTTCCTAAACAGCCGAAGTTTTCTATTAAATTATGCTTTCTACAAAAGTTATGCAACTGATCAAATAGGGGAAAAATTAAGAGAAAGCATCGTAATATATTTTCCATAAAACAATCAAGGATCGCATAATTCACAATTTAAAAATACTCAATAGAAACTTAATTCCTTTTTGGGGTTTTTAAAATTATCGGTGTCATGGGTCTTCATAAAAGGCAATTTCCATAATAATTTTTGGACATTTCTCAAACATGTTCAATTGCCGACAATAAATTTGAATCTCTCTCTCTTTTTCCCCAGAGAGAAGAGCTCATAAATTGACCATTCAAGATTAATTGGCTAAAACAGGCGGCGAATAAATTAAAAAGGCAAATAAATGAAAATTACGAATAAACAGTCACATTTTGGCATTTAGCTAGAAAAATGCGGCAATTAGTCATGATAAAACATAGTCATAAGTACAAGCACACACACATATGAGTCTCTAGAGAAGAGTACATTCAACTCTTAACCCCTTGACGACCCCAGCGATCCATCATGCAGCGGCGACATTTACAACGGCCAGACAAATTGAATTTTTTCTTCTCCTTCATTTTTTTGTTAATAAAAATACAGCAACTTCAGTCTCGAATTCGCGCGAATATCTGAGCTGTGGGATCTGTGTAACTATAAAGATTTACAATGCATTGCCCACACGGGCGGCACACCAGCAATTCAATTAAACGCCCACCGAAAAAAAATAAGTAAATAAAACCTCCTAAGTGAGTCAACGGCAAACGCCAACAGAATAGCGGCAAAAGAGCAGAATAATCGAAGCCGAAAACAAAGGAACATGAAATTGCTTTATTACTTAATTGCTCTTTAAAAAATAAAGAAAAAGAAACACCAACCGAAACATCGGTTTTGCCACAGGCGTTCCTATATGGCCAAAATCGTAGTTGAAGTCTCTTTCAAAAGGCCACCGAGAGTGGGTCACATACTTGAATCGAATACAGAGAGAAAATTAAAGGGTTTAAATGTGAGAAAATTAAGGTTTTAGTAGAGAGAAATGATTTATAAATATTATAAGAACTATTATAATGATATGAAACCAAAGGGAGAAGAAATAGTTCTCAAAAATTTCATAATAACATTTTAAATATTCTAAATTAAACGTTTAAATGCTCTTAAGTCTCAAAGTATTTTATTTTTTTGTTGTAATATATATTTTTCGGCACTTTTCTTGGAATATAATTAAATTTTCCCCGTGTATCTATCCATTTGAAGTACATTTAAATGGCCATTTGATCGCAAGATGACTTGTTAAGGGTGCGGGGGCGGTACAGAACAACACACGCGAGTGCCAAATTAACAGAAATTTTTGTGCAATTCGATTGGATTCGAATTCGGATTCGGATTCAAAGTTGGATTCGGTTGCGCAGGCGCCGTCGACGCCGCAATGCTTGTTTATTCCGTAACAGCCGTGGGCTTCCACTCTTTTTGATATTTTGAAGTGGAAACGCTGGCCACATGTCGCGTCCAATTAAATTGTCATGTCGTCTTACTCGGCGGCATGTTTGCATAAAATTAATTCTGCAAATTATCCGCCCAAACCCGAAAAAAGCTAACAAAATCCAAGAAATCCCCCAGACAGACAGGAGTTGTTATTGAATGGAGTTGTGCGGTTGAATGAATAAATTTATGCGTTATGAATAGTAGAGAAGCGAAAATAAACTTTCAAATTATTGGAAAGGATGCTCAAAGAGTCTCGTTAAAAATTATATAAGAAATCGTGTTTGTATCTATCATATATAATGCAGTTTCAGGGGAATGGTTAGTTTACAGTTTCCTATAGTACTTTTCTTTAAAAATGTTTAATTGCAGCATAAAACAAATCAGTTAAATATTACACAATTTCATAGTTAAAAAATAAGCAATAAAAAAGCCATTAAAAATTACCTTTTAATATTAATTAGACCCAACCCATTTCCATATTCAATTTCCCAATAATATATGCACATTTTACTCTGCGACAAGTTGTCTCAATCAAGTGCCTGTCCTGTTACCTATTCTCACGCTTTTTGGACCAAATTTGATTTTGCATTAATCACCTGTAGACCCCCCCTCTGCCCTCCCCCCCTCACCTGTAATCGGGCCGAATGTCAGCCTTAGTCACTCATTTTGGGACTTGTTTTCGCAACCGTTTTTCTTGGCCTGTATGTGTGGAGCATGTCACGTCGTGGTCGGACGTGTTGGCTGCCAAATTAGCAGCAATTACATGTAATATCGGTTACACTTATTTGCATATTGATGCAATTCTCGATCTGGTCGTAATGGTGCTATAAATTTGCTTGGCACATGTCCCCACCAAGTCACCTGGCATTGGTTTCTGTTTCTGTTTTTGTTTTTCCCTCGACTTGATTTGTTTAGCTTGGGTGCTTAGGTTTTTAAGTCTTATAAGTGGCACCTGCCATTCGGATTTCGTGTGCTTTTCTGTGTATTTTTTGACAATGTTTGCTCAACGTCTAGACGGGGTAATGTCTTTCGAATGGTCACTGTAGAGGCTATGGCGGCTTGTCGGAAAAATTTCAAAGTTCCATTGCAATAGAGAGACTTGTTGTTGACACCTGGCTAGCTCAGAAAAACAACAACAGTCGTGCCGAGTTTGGCTTATTTAATAATTATTTTAAATAGTTTTAATAGTTGAAAATTATTTTTAGAGACTTGGGTAGCTCAGGGGAATAATTATTAGGAATTTAGGAAATTCTTAGAGTTGGGTTTTAGTTATTTTATAATAGTTTTCATGTTTAAATATATTTTATGACACTTGATTAACTAAAAGTAATAGATGGGGAATTATTTTAAATTGTTTTCATGGTTAAATATAATTTATAGGCACTTAGGTAGCTCAAACGAATAATTATAGCTTTATAAATATTAATCATTAAACATATTGGGGGTTTAATTATTTAAATTGAAAGGTTATTAAATGTATGTCTTTAACCTAGTACCATTCGCAAACTTAATTTAAATTTAAATTAATTTAAATCATTAGAAAATGTATATTTTTCATAACAATTCACATTTTCCAGTGAATACAATTTAATCTCAACCTCAAACAACTTTCATTTAAAATTAATCCACATTAATCCCCCCAAAAATGACCAAACATTAACTGTAATTATGAATATTAACCTTTTATGATAGCTCTGAACCGTTTGATTCAATCTCAGCGCCATTCCCATAAAAGTCTTACATTTTCGCAACTCAAGGCCTGAACATGGCTCCTTTGAAGCCATATTAAGTTGGCCAAAACAAAAGTCAAGTTTAAAACGCTTAATGCATTTAAGACACAAAAAGGCGTGTTCAATTAGCATGCAAAAAACCCGATCAACTTTTATAGAAAAAAGTGTAACACGGAAAAAATAAAAATAAAATAGAAAAGCTACGAGCTACAAGCGCAGAAAATTGAACATAACGCCACGGCAATGGCGACGATGGAAAATCGTTGGAAAATACGATGAAAAACCAACGGGGCTGGGTGAATTAGCGCAGAGCCAAGGCCCCCGAAGACAGCTTCGACTGCTTGTTCAATTTAATTGAATTGAGGAGAACAAAAACTGCAACTGAAACTAAAACCAAAACTGAAAGAAAAAACAAGGAGTAAAAATCGAATTGGCAGTTGTGGCTCGAGTTGAGTTAACATTATAATCGATCAAGGCAAAGCGAGGGGAAAATTCAGCGCATGCCGCAGTGCACTCAATCAAATCGGACAGACGGTTAATTGATACGCACAGATCGAATATATATATAGGCAGAAATCGAGAGGTGAACACACGAGTATATAACCATTCAGGCCCCAGGTTCGTGCCGTTCGATCTGACCCAGAAAAGCGCAAATATGTGTGGCTGAAATGGAAAAACTTGCCCCAGAAAAACGGTCAAAGAAAGCTGTGGTAAAACACCTGTCAATTTGTAGTTTCTTGCCTTAAATCACTCAGAGTTCCTCAACCAACAAAATAAGTATATCTTCTTATTCTTGCTTTGTTAGATTTTAATCTCAACGCAGAAAATGGTGATATTTTCCACCTGACCACAGGTGGATAATGCAATTCTGTTGTTCTGTCGTCGGTTTTTTATCTTTACCTGTATTTATACATATTTATGCTCGGTATTAGTTTTACCGCTTTTTAGACCCACACGCAACTGTCGGCTTTTAGAAACTGATTTTTGCGTGGCTCAAGTCTCAAGTTTGTGTCCTAAGTCATTCGTTTTGGCATTTGCCATTCTGTCGCTTGACATTTACTGTACAACTAATTTATGCTCGGCAGTCTATTAAAAGTTTCTGTTTATTAATTGGTACACATTTTTTCCATTCTTATCTCTTTGCAGAATTAAATCAGCGAATGCCAATGGTAAGTGAACAAATTGTTTTTATTCTTTATTCTCAGCTATTATTTAAATGAGAAGAATGATTTGTTGTGGGTGATTAAATGGGTATTTAGCAGGTTGTACAGCTTAAGCATGGCAGTTAATTTATGCCTTTTATTGTTTAGAAGATTATAATAATTATTTAAAAGGAAAATAGCTAAATCGAATTACAATTAAATTATTTATTTGTTATTTAGATGCATAAGAAATGGGTAAAGACTTTTAATCTCCATATATTATAAGAGAAATGAGTTGCTTTTATAGTTATAATTAAACAATTTCGAGAACAATTTTTCAAAAAGGTTTAGAGTAAAAACTTCCATGTTTAGTTCTCACATTTTAATGAACACTTTTTTCCCAATGAGAAAGTCTTGTCGATTCCATCCCTTCAATATCTCATTTCCTCCTAAAAAAAAAGCCTGATCACTTCGGCATTTTTTGCCTTGCCTGATTAATTAGCCAAGCCAACTCCCGGGTCAGGTTTTTTCTGCCCATCATCATCATCATCATGATCATCTTCGACGGGGGCTTTGCCTTCTCTTTGCATTTTCATTTCCATTTTTAATTGCATAATTCTGCCGTTGCATGCAATTCACAGAAATCTTTCGTTCCGGCTTCGGGTTCTTCCCCCTTTCATTGGCCCTTGAAAAGAGTGGCAACATTTTAATTTGTTTGTTGTGTGGCAGAAGGAAGGCAAAAAACTAACAAAATGAAGACAAATTTTTGACGACAATGCATGAACTTCACGTTCGTGCCACAAATCTGAGATGCTGCCGGCTGTGGCTGCTCCTCCTCCTGCGGCAGTTGAAACCGAAACCAGGAGAGGGATTATATTTGCCCCCGGGGGCTACGTGCTGTCTAAAACTTTCGAGTAAAAGAAAATTTGTAGACAAATTAAGGCAAAGGCAAACAATTGTCATGGTCGCAGAGACTTCGTCAAACACGTTTGAAAATCGTGCAAAAGCTAAGGAAGAAAAAAAAAAAGTTGAGATTGGAGCAAAAACTTTTTACTATTTTGATTTAGTTGCTCGAGTTTGGTATTCTTTTTTTGGGAAGTAGGCAAATTTATTGACAAACGATCTTTCAAAGGGGTACAGTCAGAAATTTAATTACTAGCTTTATTTACCTTTTAAATATTTCTAATATTTTGTAGAGAAAAGTTATGTTTAGAAAACTTTTAAGGGGTTAGGAATATGTTGTATATATTCCTTATTGATTTATTTTTGATAAATATAAGAGTTATAGGGAAATAAAGTAGTAGTAATAAGAAGATTGTCCTTGTTAACTTAACAAAAATTAAATTACTTTATTTGTAAAGTATATTGAATGTTTCTTAGAGAAAAGTTATATTTGGAAAACTTTTAAGGGGTTAGGAATATGTTGTATATATTCTGTATTGATTTATTTTTGATAAATATAAGAGTTATAGGGAAATAAAGTAGTAGTAATAAGACGAATGTCCTTGTTAAGTCAATTAAATTACTTTATTTGTAAAGTATATTGAATGTTTCTTAGAGAAAAGTTTTGTTTAGAAAACATTTGAGGGGTTAGGAATATGTTATATACATTCCTTATTGATTTGTTTTTGATAAACATGGGAGTTATAGGGAAATACATTAGTAGTAATAAGTAGATTGTCCTTTTCAAGTCAATGAAATATTGTTAACACAAATTTTTAAATCGAAAAAAATTCAAATTGTGTTAAAACATTTAACCCAAAACCTAATACCTATTTTCGGTCAGTGTGACGACCCTTTTAGGTCAAATTCCCGGCCCACTCTCTCTTTCTCCCAAGGGCCTCTTGGCGCCAATTTCACTGGCAGCCGCCTCTCTGTGGGGCTGACAATCGACATGCAGGACAAATTGTTGACGGCATTTAATGTCACAGCAGCCAATTAGCTGTCCCCATGAAAATGCTCGTTTCTTGTTTTCTTATTTATTTTTTTCTGTACGATTTTTTTGGCAAAAGTTGTCGTTTTTTTACGTTGCCCACTTGTTGTGTGTGTTTTTTTGTTTGTGGTACGCACGGTTGCATGTTGTGCCAAAGGAGGAGGAGGAGGAGGACTACAAAAAGCACAACCAGAGAAACAAACAATCGCCACAAATCGTTAAACTGTCAGCAGCTTTTAAAGCGCGTGATTATGTCCAAGTCAACGTCGGACTCGATGCCGAGAGTTGAGAGTTGAGAGACAAGCGCCAGTTGCCAAACTGTTTTTTCCAGCCTTTATTTTTATTTGGCCGAAAGAGAAAATTTTCAATTGGCCCGAAAAAAAAAAAATTCACATTTAAGTGGTGTTTATATGTTGCAACATTTTTTCTCTGCAAAGGTGAAGCTGAAAAAAGTGGGTTTGCATTTAAATGTGCGCCACAATTTTAAGAGATGCTTGCAGATTTTAATTTGTTTTACTGTTTATTTGATCGAAACGAGTTGTATTTAAATAAATAAAGAGTTTTTAATAAAAAGGAAAAGTTTTTTATCAAAAAGAAGATAAATAAATAAATAAGAATCCTTGTGGTAAAAAGTATTTCATTTTTAATAAAGCCTGAACTGAAATTAAAAGCATTTTCATAAGGTTTTTATATTATTTAAATAGTATTTACAGTTTTGTGAAAAAGTACTTCAATTTGAATAAAAGCTTAACTGGAATAAAAAAAGTTTTTATTAAACTCTTGAATTCTTGAAAGTATTAATGAGTTTTTACGAGTGACCAAGGTCTTATATACACATATTTTATATTTTCAATGATATATTTTTTTATTTTTTCAATGATATCTAAATATTAAATATTACATTTATTATAAATAGTATTTTATATACACATATACACATTAAAATCCTAATCAAACTATACTTCTTTTTCATACACTTTTAATATAAAAACTTTTTTCAATAGAAAAGTTATTCCCTCTCATATTGACCCCCTTCAAATCCCCCATCAGATATTTCCAAATTTACATAATTAACCCACAATCGCCGCAAATAATCAGCAGAAAATGACAATTGCCAAATTCGATGGTGTCAGTTTCGTACGAAATTTTTGCAATTATCTTTTAAACAGCAGCCAACGTGTCGTATGCGTAACATGATTTTAATTATGCATACAAAGAACTCACGATAATCAAGCAAAAGGCACAACGTAAAATCAAAAATAAAAATAAATAAATAAACGAAAAATGCTATTTGACATTTGTGTGCATTAAACGGCCAAGACACCGTACAGAGATTGGCATTATCTCGCCGACTATTAAGACTTCATTACACATGTCATATTTGCCATTTACTCGAAGGGGGGAAAAAATAAAAACCAACCCGAAGCGAGGCAAAAATAAAAATCTACAAAATATCAACAAAACACAAATTAAATTCCAAAGCCCAAGCTGCTCGTTAATTTTTGCTTTATTTATTTTCTTTCAATTTTTCGTATGGACAAAAGTTGACTGCGAAATATTTTGTTAACAACAATTTGCCGTTTGTCGTTGCCGTTTTGGCCGCTACTGACACAGCCGTGCAGCGGTGACGCGATAAGCAGGCAAAGATAAGGCTGCAAGCTACCAAGCTTTTTTAATGCAGTTGAGAACAGTGGGAAAGATATTAAAAACAAGAAATAAAGTCAAATTCGGGTTCTCTAAATTTGCAGAGAAAATTGGACACAACTAAGTCAAAAATGCATTAAATCCCAATCGGAAAGCTGTTCTGAGCTAGTATTTAAGAGCTTAACAAAACTGCATTACTGTATTTAATTTTAAACATATTTAAATTTTGGTCAATTTTTCAATATGTCAACAAGGTCAAATGTGCCTCATAGAATGTTGAAAAAAATTTCAAAAATTTATTTGCTTTTTTTACAGCCTAGAAAGATTCGCCTATTGATGCTGATAAAGAATATATATGGATACATATATGGGAAATGACTCCTTCACTGTGTTTTAAGCTTCTGACTGAAAGTATAATACCTTGCAGGGTATTCTTTAGGTCGATATTTTATTCCTACAACCGAGAGCTTAAAAAACTCATAACTTAGCCAAAAAAGCATGAATTTCTATTCGGAAAGCTGTTCTGTGCTAGTTTTTAATAGCTTAAAAATCTGCATTACTGTATTTCATTTTTAAAATATATAAAATTTTGTCAATTTTTCAAATTGTCAACAAGGTCAAAAAGTCACTTAAAAAGTCCGAAAAAATTTCAAAAATTTTATTTTCTTTCCTTTCTGCCTAGAAAGATTCGCCTGTTGATGCTGATCAAGAATATATATGGATTATGGGGTCGAAAATGACTCCTTCACTGCGTTTTATGCTTCTGACTGAAATAATAATACCCTAAAAATATGATTATAATTATACTCTAAATTCCCGTAAACAAAATCTAGGATATCTAGGCCTTGAATATATATCAAAAATAATTTAAGCCTCGAAACTTATACATTTCTTAATAAGGTTCCGGGTAGAATCGAAAAGTAAATATTACAGCATATCAAATGAAATATATGCTAAAAACCAAACAAGTTTCTTGTATAAATTCAGATATATTCTCCCAAATGACCACTGTACTTGACTTGAGCATTGAGAAACTCAGAAGAAACCCCCAGCATTAAAAAAAAATACAAATAAAATCGTAAGTGCAATGCATTTGAAGTTACAGCTTAGAGCTCAGCTTGGCCGCGACTCGATTCAGCTGACTTAGCTGTGCAGTAGCCGCGGCAACATCGTTAACACGGCGCAAAAACAGCCATTAAAGCCAAGTTCCAGATGGAGCTCCAGCTCCGACTGGAGTGGAGTGGAGTGGGGTCTCCGGAGACTGGGACTGGGGACTGGGGACTGGGTGTTTTGTGGCATTGGTGACATGCACAAAATGCATGTATATGAGCACCTACGTACGATAACTCCTCCGGTTCGGGGGTAATAATCGCCAGAGCCATAGCCATAGCCATAGCTGCTGGACATTCGCCTGGCGGAGTACGTAAATCATAAGCATAAAACGACTTTGACTACGACTCTTAAATCTTAAATGGCACACGGAAAAAAATAAAATGGTAATAGTAATAGTAGAGAAAAACTAGGACTATGCAATAATTTTTTAAGAAAGAGAAATATTTTAACTAGAGAATAAATTGAGAGAGCTTCAGGTTACATAAATTAAAGTATTGATTTATTAAAATTTTCCTTTTATATGTTCTCTTTATTCCTGTAAGATCCTTAGAGGCTATAATGTTTAGGAGGCAATTTCATTCTGTTGCAATTATTTCTTTTACTTTCCCATAAACCTTAGATTAACTACTGAAATGAATACACATTTGTTCTATGTGTATGTAAAACTGCATTATGCATATACACACACCGATGTTCATAGCTTGGGAAACCATTGCAGCACCGTTGCGTATGCACCACGCTAATTAGTTGAATCGCCCCAAGTGGCTCCTCCGAGTGGCTCCATCTTTTCCGCGTTAATGAGAGTGAAAGGCGAGTTTAAATAAATACTACCGAGTTTATACATGTCTATATATATATATATAGAAAATGTATAAAAAAAAAGAAATAAAGAGCCAGGCACACATTTCGCACAGAGTTCCTGTAACCAAATGAGTACGCAGATGAGTTGGAAATCCGAGCCCGTGGCTGAGAACTGGTCTACTGCATTTACGGCCGGGCAGAAATTATTCCCATTGAGCATTTGCTGACTGCACTGTCTATAAATTATGAGTTTAATGACGGAAGAGACTTTATGGAATCCCGGCTATTTGGATTTTGAGTGCCTCCGTTGAGTCACAACCCTCCCAGGCCACTGTGCAAGATCACATGTGCTGATTGCGCCGGCCAGAAAGGAGCAGCTAGTCAGCCATTTGGCATTTTCGATGGCCACTCGCCGGCTGGAGCGGCTGCAGTGGGTTCAGTGTGTGGTGCTTGGTGGCTCAGTGGTGCTGCCGAGTGGTGCAGTTTGTTTGCCACCTCGCTGCCAGTTGACAGCCGTTTAATTTACGCTTTGTTTGTTTGTTTGTTTCTCTGTCTTTTGTTCGGTTTCGAGGAGGTGAATGTTTGATTTATCGCCCGATTATAAACCAAAATGTCATAGATTTTCTGCTGCGTTACGATTTCGATTTCGGTGGATTTTTCCTTTTGCCCTCCCCCAAAAAGAACTACCAAAAGTCCCACGATTTACTAGCCTTTCAACAGGTGTCTTTAGACAGAAAAAAATTGGGTATTATTAAATATTTGTCATCTAAGTAAATTAGTCAGAGAAACTCGACATTTTAGCGAGCTAAATGAAGTTTGAAATTCAATTAGTTTTTTAATGGAACATAGAAAACTATAAGAGAAAGAGGTTTCATGTAAAACCGTAAAATTCCCTCGTAATCCGATTTTATTATAAAAAAACCTCAAGCTGCCACAATCTGTAATTGTCCATTAAAATTGCATGTAGTTTTTGCAATTATCTTTGAACAGCGGCCAACGTGTCGCATGAGTAACACGATTTTAATTAAGCAAACATAAGATAACAAAAAACAAGAAAGGAAGCTAACTTCGGCCCGCCGAAGTTTAAATACCCTTGCAGATAGAAATTCTATGACTAGAAATCCATACCATATAAATTATATATATATGTGTTTTTAAAAACAATGAAGTAATACCTGCTTTTATTTCATTCACCTATACATATTATATTTGCAGCTTTATATTCACAGATTTGTATTTTTCTTCTACATCAAACGATCGTTTGTATGGCACCTATATGATATAGTCGTTTGATTTTCATAAAATTTTACACAAAATTTTAGAATAATATGAAATGGCTATATCTCAAATTTGATTAAATTCTGTTGAAAACTAAAAATGTTATCGCCACCGCGATTGTCAGTCTTCCGACAACAGCCACCGCCATTCTCATTCCTCTCAAATTTCTCGATCGTTCCTATGGGAGCTATATGATATAGTCGTCCGATTTTCATAAAATTTTACACAAAATTGTAGAATAATATGAAACGGCTATATCTCAAATTTGATGAAAATCTGTTGAAAACTGAAAATGTTATACTTTTTAATTGAATTAATTTCTCGATCGTTCCTATGGGAGCTATATGATATAGTCGTCCGATTTTCATAAAATTTTACGCAAAATTGTAGAATAATATTTAATGGCTATATCTCAAATTTGATCCAATTCTATAGAGAACTGAAAAAGTTAAAATTTTTTTTGTAAAAATTTTCCGATCATTCCTATGGCAGCTATATGATATAGTCGTCCGATCCGGCCCGTTCCGACATATATACGAGTGAGAGTATATAGAAGGCTAACTACAAAGTTTCATTCAGATAGCTTCAAAACTGAGAGACTAGTTTGCGTAGAAACGGACAGACGGACAGACGGACAGACGGACAGACGGACAGACGGACAGACGGACAGACGGACATGGCTAGATCGACTCGGCTGTTGATCCTGATCAAGAATATATATACTTTATATAGTCGGAGGTGCCTCCTTCACTGCGTTGCAAACTTCTGACTGAAATTATAATACCCTGCAAGGGTATAAAAAATATAACTCATTTCCATTTGCAGGTGGTCGCCCGCAGCCTTGGTGGTGTCGCAATAACCGCAACGGTGGTCAGAACCGATCGCCCATCTCGATCAAGCATTCAGCGGACAGTATCCGGCGACCCACAAGTAATTCCGGTGTCTGGACCTGGCTGGGTGGCAGTCGCCGCTCCTCCGCTGGCCCAGACCAGATCGGACCGCCATCCACATCACCGGCGGAGAATCATTATACGCACATGGACGATGCCTACAGTCCGGTGGGTGTGAGCGAGGCGCTCTACGCGGAGCTGGATAGGGAGTCCGTGAGATCGGCGAATCCCTCGTATCAGAATACGGCCTACAGTCAGTGTGGCGAGGTAAGTAAATCTTTCTATGCTTTATATATTTTTGAAATCTAAAATCCTCTCTTTTTCCCTTGCAGAAATACAATTTCCAGGGCCACGAGCAGGACATTCCCATGGTGGTCTCCTCGGCGCCGAGCAGTGCCTACTACTCGGACCTGTCGGTGACGGCCATGCCCGGTGGTGCCAGTGGCAGCAACCAGGGCGCCTACGAGATCGTTGGACTGAATGTCATGTCCCAGCCGCTGCCCAACTGGGATCATGTTGGCGGTTCAGGGGGAGGAGTCGTTGGAGGGACTGGCCTCAATCCCAGCGAGGCGGCGGCCATGACGCAACGGAGAGGACAACGACTGGCGGCCATCAACGAGACGAGCACCAGCACAGTGCCCTCGGACTATGTCTAAGTTTTTGAGGAATACAATTACGATATGGAAAATAATGTGAAATGTTTGGCGAGCTTAACATGTTAATAGGATTAGGATACGTTACATATAAACCCCTAGGATGTAGGGTTAAATTTACACTTAGACTTAATACTAGGTACTAGCAAAGGCAATTAAAATAAATACGATGCATAGCGCCAAATTCTGTTAAACAGCCAGAGAGAGCGAGAACTCTATTATAAATTGTTTTATGGTCTGCAATTGGTGCGCTATGCATCCTATTTCTGATATTGTCTTTGGTATTACCTTTTGGGAGTTAGCGTGGACGAATCGTGTCTTTGGTTTATGTCTGACTTTAGAAATCCAATCGATATATAGGGATATATTTATACACACACTTACAAAACAAGGCGAGAATTGTATTATATGTCTAGTTTTTATATAGTCTCTAAGCAACGATTTAATCGTGGGTGATATTTAGCCTAAAAATATGCTATATTCTTATGTTCTATGTACTTTAAACATTTTCTGAAAATGTATAAACACCAACAAACGCATTTTTCGTAGAATTAGACTATAAAAAGTGAGGTCGTATTTCCCCCAGGATCAGCAGTACACGAATATATATAGAAACGATATATATATACACATACATATACAATACGAATAAAAAGCATATTTATACACTCATATTTACAGCAGCAAACGAACGCATTTACTATTATATCTCACCAATATGAACTATATATCTATATCTTTAAACAATAACTGAGGCAAACATATTTACAACGATTTTAATGCAACCAGATTTCACCAATATTTACCGAGAATAAACCGATATCGGGGGAAATGATATACTGGCACCGTCATATCATTTACCAACAAAACCGTAATCTTACGCATAGCTATCTATATACATATACCATTTACAATAAACAAAAAACAGACTCACGAGACCCTTAGCAGATGTATTTTAGTTCTTAGTCGCTATTAATTAATTTAATTTAATGACACTCACCAACACACACACAGACACATACGATTCCTGTACATTTTTGTTTTAGTTGAAAATATAATTAAACAATTTATTGCTATTTACATTCTGAATCCCAAAAAGAATGCAGTTTATATTGCTTAATATGGGTTTAAAGGTAAGATGAAGGTTTAAACAACACCAAGAATCCCACTACCCACACCAATATTTTTTAGCAGAAAATGCAGCTCTTATATTTTATAAATACTTACCATTGCTGAGTCGCCAACTGATTTGGTTGTTTATATATTATTTATGAGGCCTTGCCTGTTTCGGTCCGAGTATAAATTATATTCGGAAATTCGCATTGTCTGAATCAATATTTAACCATATTTGTATACCTCAATTTTAGTTGACAAATCAAAGTTTAAAAAACTCATAACAAAACCAACAAAAAACATTAGTTCTAATTCGGAAAGCGTTTCATTGTTAGGGATTATAAGGTTAAAAAATCTGCATACTCAATATAAAATTTAAAAAAGAATACATTTTTGACTATTTTAACAATTATAAAATGTTGAAAAAAAGGCTAGAAAGATTTCTCTGTTGATCCTGATCAAAATCAATGATGTAACCCCTTATAAAAATTTGGAAAAATCTAAAAAAATGTTTTTCTCCAGAAAGATTCGCCTGTTTATGCTGATTAAGAATATATATGATTTATAGGGTCGGAAATACCTCCTTCACAGCGAAAAAGCTTCTAACTAAAATTGTAATAGCCGGCAGGGGTTATTAATTAATTTACCCTATTTTATCCAAATTTTAAAATTGACAAAAATTTACTAAATCTCGCAGGCCCACAATTTTATAATCATAATATAAATCATATAAAAAATCATCATATAAAAAATAAATTAGTTTCTCACTTACCGATTTTCTTATATTCGTTTATTTCGTCTTCATCTTATTTTTGTTTGATTATTAATTAATGTTCGCACGCGAGATGTAGTATTTTTCCTTCCTTTCCCTTTCTTTTAACTCACAGAATTAAACACATTTAATATAATAATAAATTAAACACTTGAAAAACACACTGAATTTAAACCATTTTGGATATTAATTAATAAAGCACTTAAAAAAAAACAACAAAATACACAGAACTATAAACATTTCATATAATAATTATTTAACACTTAAAAAAATGCACAGAATTATTAACATTTAATAAATTAATTAAACACTTAAAAAATAACAAAAAAAAAACTAGGGAAAGGAAAGAACTGTATTAAAACGCGCACAACGCACCGATAATCCGCGCACTTTTATATTCGCTTGGCTTATTCGCGCACTTTACTGTTTCAAGAACTGTTAGTCCAAAACACACCGCAAGAAAACATTTCCATTGCGATGTCTCCTTTGGCGAGGTTTCTTGCCATGCAAACACACATGCAAATGCGTATGCAAGGGCGCCAACACACACACACATATTGGCGGGTGCTGCTGCGGTCCGCAAGTGTCTCGACTTTTGTTATTGCACTTTTAGTGGCTTTAATACTTTATCCACTTGCTAATTGTTTTAAGAATGTCTTTCTTTTATCACTTTTGTATGTACATATGTACGTAATTAGTTATTAAGTTCACTACGGCACTTTGCGGAATCTGTGCTTTTTTCACATTCCGTTATCCACTCACGCAATTGCAGTTAGAGGGCGAAGCAGAGCTCACTTCATGTGGATTTTGGTAAATTCTTATTAAATGCACATATTTGGGGCTTATTTCAGTGTTTCCTCGTAAAACGCAGCTAGTTTTAATGATTAAATAGCTTAGTTTGTATTATTAAGCTTTTGATCGGACGCTAAGCACACCTTCGTAGCAGCACAAAATTTTTCACTTTGACACTTTCGATCTCTCCCTCTCTTCTTCGGCTCTCCGCTCTCGTCGCCACTGGAAATCGTTTGACATTGCGAGCGAGGATTCCAGTGGCGAACGAGCAAAGTGGAAGGGAGAAAAGGAGAAAGAGCGATCAGTGGCTTCTACTCGCACTTGTTAGAGACGGGCCATACTAGGTGAAGCACGTGACGAGCGCCAGAGCGCGCCCACGAGATATTTAAATTTTTTAACTGGGTTCACGTGTGTGGTGGCGGTTCAGGTGGTGGAGATGTTGGGGGAACTGGCGGGGAAGCGGTCATGGCGCAGCGGAGGGGACAGCGACTGGCGGTCATTACCTGCACAGTGTATAGTGACACCTTCATATGATTTATATCATTCATACATTAGTTGTTAGTTGCTATTAATTACATACCTTTATTGTTGTTTTAGTTGAAAATATAAATAGGCAATTTATTTATATATGTATATTTATTGTCGAAATTCCAAGAAGGAAGCTGTTTTTATTGTTTTTAATGGTTTGGAAGACATGGTTACATGGTCTTGTGTGTAAATTCAGCTTTATATATCATTTAGTTATGGAAAAATTAAATCTCAAATTAAAAAACAAAAACATAACAAAACAACAAAATTTAACTAAAAAACATCTTAAATAATGACTTTAAAATGTAAAGCTTAATTGAAAATTTAAGTAAAACAAGAAAGACGCCCCAAGGTATCTTTCATTTACAAAGTCGGATAACCCAAGCTCGTCACCTGGAGAATAGTATAAGCCGGCTGTAGTTGTGCCACTATCACCGGAGTAGCAACCTCGATTTGAGGTATGGAAGTCATCAATGTTTCCCCGGCAGGCGTCGATGCTTCTCCCTCTTTGACAACCTTCCTTTCATGGATCAAACGATGAGTCCGTAGGGCCGCCGGCTGTATGAACTTCTTGCCGCACTCTTGACACTCAAAGTTCTTCTCGCCGGTGTGGGTCATCTCGTGGTACTTCCGGGTATTCGAATTGGCAAACGATTTCTCACAGTAGCTGCAGGCATAATCCCGTTTCTTCTCGTGAATGGCGTTTACATGCTTCTTGAGGCTCGTGGAGCTGTTGCAGACCTTGGAGCAATATTTGCACTTCCAGCTCCGCTCCAGCGTGTGGAAGTTAATATGCAGTCGCAGCTCATTTTTGGTAGTCTTTCGCAGTCCACAATAGGGACAGCTGTAGTTCTTAATTCCCTGATGCCGCATCATATGAATTCGGAGCTTCTCCTGGCTGATGAACCTCAGCGTGCAGTCGGCCATCTCGCAGGCGAAGGGCAGTTTCAGTTGGTCGCTGTGCGTGTGCCGATGGTGGGTCAAGGCGGCCAGATTCTGGAACACTCGGCCGCAGAACTCGCACATATGCGTCTTTGGGGGCTCCCCAAGACCGTGGGCCTTGCTCTGGTGGAGCTTTAGGGAAGCCTTGTGCCGGTACATCTTGTGGCAGCCCTCCTCTCCGCAGATAAACCGTGTGCCCTCCGCTGCGTGCAGCAGTTCGTGTTGCCTGCACTGCTCGTAGCGATTGAAGGACTGTTCGCAGCCTGATTCCGAGCAATGATAGAGGCTGTGGCCATCGTGTTCCTTTTTGTGGTTGACTAGGCGTTTGTGATCATCGAATTCCTCGGAGCATAAGTCGCAGGTGTAGACGGCATCAGATGTCGAGATGACATCAGTCTCCTGAAATGTAGAGAACAAATTAAGTACATGTTGTGCTTGAAAGGTTATCAACTTATTTGAAATAAGTTTAAATAACCCATTAAATACTATTATAATATACATTATTTTAACCTGTGGTTTGGCTTTCTTGGAGAAGCCTTTCTTTGTACTCTTTTTGAAACTATTGGTGATTCCTTGGGACTTAGGTTCCCATCGCAGAGGATCAACTCGGGCGGTTGGAGGGAAGGCTGCTCCTGGTCAGCATTTGACTCCTCTTCTTCCACCTGTTCTTGATTTTCCAGTTCATTCTGTTGTTCCTCCATACCCAGTTCTTCTTCCATTTCTTGTTCCTCTACCATTTCCTGTCCTTGTGCTTCTTGGTTCTCTTCAAGGAACATGGGCTCCTCCTGGATAATTTCCCTCCGCTTCACCTTTTTCTTAAGCCGCCACTTACGATCGGCGGTGAGGCTGAGGGCGCGAAAGGCGTGGTACATCTCCAACTGCTCGTAGCACTGGCAACAGATCTCGCTGGGAATAATGTGGACATCGTCGGGATCCACAACCAAACCGGTGCAATCCGAGAACTTGGCGGCCAGCTTTGGTAGCTCCAGTAGGTTGTAGGCCTCGTCATCCCGCGCTACCGCCGTAAAGCAGACACGGCACTTATCCAGGTGTCCCATTTCATTAAATTTTAATGAAAACTCAATCAGTTTTAAACGAAATCAAAGTTTTTGCGTCTCCTTCTTCCTCTTCTTTGTTTATTGTGTACAATAGAGCTGGGGAAAAAATCAATTCTAACCACGATACTATCGATATCTGCAATTAATCGATTCAGCTTTGACAAAATCGATGTATCGATATATCGGTTTGGACAAGCGGTAGAGATAATCAAAATTGTCGTGATAAGCTATCTTAACTGATTAATCTGTTAATCAATGAGATTTTATTAATATTAAAATTAGTTTAAATATAGTTTTTTATACACACAATAAAATAATATCATTTGAAGCTTTAAATTGCCAGAAGCTTGCAGTCCCATCTCTAGGTGCAGTGAGAAACTCACATCTCTAATAGTAGGTGGATAACGGAGCTGCTCGAAGTTTGTTTTTGTTGTCTCTCCCTGGAAAACAATGGAAAATTCCAATGGAATACACTATATAGAGCTATCCCCAAATCCCATAAGATTCGATGCCGTTAGCCAGCTGACCAATGTCTTTTTCGATGATTCTAATAAACAGGTACGTCGTTAACTAACTTCCAAACACAGACAGTGAAGCACTTTTTCCCCAAGATCTTTGCAGTCCGTTCGGGAGGAGCCACTGGGGTGGTGGTCAAGGGACCCGGCCCCACCGAGGACACCGTCATCTCGTTTTGCATGAACGACCGAGGTGGTGACATCCGCTCCATCAAGTTCTCGCCGGACAACCAAATCCTGGCGGTGCAACGAAAGGAAAATGCGGTGGAGTTTATTTGCTTCAATGGAGATCAACCGCTGCTGCAGGACATTATTACACACCAAGTGAAGACCACCATACATGGCTTCGTGTGGGTCCACAACCGTGAGGTGGCCCTCATCTCGAACACGGGCGTGGAGGTGTACACCGTGGTGGCGGAGAAGCGGCAAGTGCGCTCAGTCAAATCCCTGAGCATCGGCATCAAGTGGTTCGCCTGGTGCTGCGATGCCAATGTGGCGCTGCTCTGCACCAGCGAGGGCAACTCTTTGATTCCAGTGCTGGTCAAGCAGAAGGTCATTACCAAGCTGCCCAAAGTGGACTGTAAGTGTGAATCGGGATGTAGTTGAACTTTGTTATTAATCTTCTTATTTTTAGTGGGTTCCCCCAGTCGCGATGTGCAGGAGAGCAAGGTGACGCTGGGTCAGGTTTACGGCATTCTTGCTGTGCTCATCCTCCAGCCAAACAGCAGCTCAGGACAAATGGAGGTCGAAGTGCATTTGCTCAATGGCCCAGGACTGGCGCCGCGCAAGTGCCACATTCTTCGCTTAAGTCTGGTGGGCAGATTTGCCATAAATACGGTGGACAACCTGATTGTGGTCCATCACCAGGCCTCTGGGACGTCCCTGCTCTTTGATATCTCCCTGCCCGGCGAGGTAATCCATGATGTTACTCATCATGCTCCTATAACGCCAGGTCGTTCAATTAAACCCTTTGGCTTGAAGTTGCCTTCCCTATCGCCCGACGGTCAGATCCTGCAATGCGAGTTGTGTGAGTTTACCACAGAATCTACTTATAGAACCCTAAATTAACCCCTAATCCTTTACAGATTCGACTCACTGGGTGCTGTTCCAGCCCAACATCGTCATCGATGCCAAATTGGGCTGCATGTGGTACCTTAATCTGTGCATTGAACCCTTGTGTCATCTCATTTCCGATCGCATTCGTCTCACCGAGTTCCTGCTGCAGCGGAGCAATGGCAAGCAGGCCTTGTTGAAGGTTGTGGCTCAGCTCGTTGATGATCAGTACAAGGGCACCCTGTTGCCAGTGCTGGAGACCATTTTTAGCAAGATTAACAAGATATATGCGTAGGTAGAAAGCATCAGCTCATCTTCCTTTACTTACTACATATTTCTCTCTAGGTCCTGGGTGCAATTGGAGCTGCAAAACCAAACTGCTCAGCCCTCGAATGTCAAGACTTCCTCGCTGAAACAGGCTACGCCTCCTATCGTGCTCATTGAGCAGCTGGACATGGTCCAGATCTTCCAGCGGATAGCCCGACGATCCTACACGGAGTCCATCCTCATGCTATACCTGCAATCCCTGAACAAGTTCAATATTGCCGCTCAAGAGGAGCTGAGCAAGATGATTGTAAGCGAGCTGATAAACAACCGCAGCTTTGATACTCTAAGGCGTCTAGTCAGCTATTCAATGTTGCTGGAATCGAAGGCGGTGGCCTGCTTTTTGCTGGCCCATTCGGATGTGGACACGGCCATATCCCAGGTGGCCATCGATATGCTGGGCAGAATTCAGGCGCATGAGGTGGGTTGTTACAAATATGTAGTTTCTACATTCTTTACATTTTGTTATTTGTATTTCTAGATCATCATTGAAGTCATGTTGGGCCAGGGCAAAGTTATAGACGCCCTTCGACTGGCCAAAAACTCTCTGGGCCTGGATAAGGTTCCAGCTCGCAAGTTTCTGGAGGCTGCTTACAAAACCAAAGATGATTTGATTTTTCACAGCGTCTTTCGATTCTTTCAAATGCGCAATTTGAAACTCTACGAGACTTTGTCCTTTCCCAAGGGTATGTAATATATATTTTATATACATATTTCTAAATTTCTTATCTTATATATACTTTATTTAACAGCCGAACAATGCACCGAGTTTATACAGCATTATAATAATACCTTTCCCGCTGATAGTTCCATAAAACCGGCTGTGAGCTAAGGCCAGGTCCTTAGTTAGATTTTATTTGTATTATAGAAAGCGTGCTTGAAAAGTATTTATACTTTGATATTGTATTGTAAATATTTTATAATAAAATAATATATTTTAAAGTTTTTAGAATGTTTTTTGCTGACAGAAGTAATGTCAGTATTGTAATTTTAGGTAATCCCTTGATAATCTTAATAGCCAATTGATTCACCCACAAAAACTCACACTTATCATGCAATTGCTTTACTTACACATACAATACAATACACAGAGTTGTACAATAAATACACTGAGGAATATAAATGGAATATACAATGAAATAATTAACAGAATCGCCTGGGCGGAGCCTTCAGCTGCAAAGCACCCATCTCCAAGGACGTGGAAATGCTGATCAGGCTTTTGTTTGGACGCGGCAAGGTCAGGGTCTGCTCCTCCATCGGCGTAAAGCATCGCGGACACTCCTCAAGCGTCGTTTCCGCATCCTCCAGGCACTCCTCGTGCAGGCCATGCCCGCAGCCGCCCAGGATGAGCACCTGACTTTGCTCATAGAGTCGCTGTCGGCACACCGAGCACTTGGTGGTGGTCACCCAGAGGCCACGACGTGCCTGCCGATGATGCTTCTGGAATTCCAGGTGAAGACCCTGGCACTGAATGTCGGCACTGCCTCTCAGAGCCTCCGTTTGCTGCCTGGAACTATCCAGCATGCCCATGAGCAGGTCTTTGATGTCGCCAAAGCTGCTGGACACATTGTGGGTGTTCATGATCAGCTGGACCAGGTTGTGCAGGTCAATGTGGTGCGAGGCCTCGTGCAGCAGGAACTTGGTGATTGACTGGAACTCCTGCTTGGGTAGGACATATTGCAACAGGACGAACCAGCAGCGCTCCAGCTCCGCAGGCGGCAAAACCTGCACAGATCTCGCCAGCAGAGAAGGCATCACCCTAGCCTCCTCCACAGCTTCCTGGCCCGTGGCCAACTTCAGCATATCCATGGACAATTCAAACGCTTTCGTATAGCTATTCTGCATCTCGTACAGATAGATCACAGCTCGGTTTAGGTGATGGCTCTCAACTATGGCAATGGCCCTGTCCAGGCTATCCTGAAGCAGACGGATGTTGCAGCACAGGAACTCCATGACCACCTCCTGTGTCTCCAGCTTACAATGCAGTTCCAGCAGAAGCTCCAGATGGCTGGCATCCAGTTTCGCTCTACGATCGTTGAGGCACTTGAGGAACACATATAATAGACTCTCTTCCGTCCTTAGGCTATCTAAGAGTTCGGGAATCTTTTCGGGATAATGCAAAGCCAACAGTCGTGTGGTTTCCTTGTCATTGATAGCCAAGAGTTTCCTGAGGTGGCGTTTCAACTGCTCATAAATGCATCTCTCCGGGGTGTCCACATAACGCTCCATATAGGCAAACATGGTCTCGTGGCGGACCTCGTTGCGGATATAACAATCCAGGATGGTATCGTAGCGTTCTAGCTTCTCAAGAAGATACTCCACCACGCAGTAACATCTTGCCCGCTCCGCCAGATGCAGCTGCTCCTCATCGCTGCTGATCTCGGCGAGGCAATTTGAGGAGAGCAACTCGTGCCAGGCATTCTCACGTTCCGAGTGCTGGCGACTGCTCTCGTTTGTGATCTCTTCCTGCGCCAGGTGACTCAACACGCGCTTCAAGAGCTGCTTATCTCGGGGTAAACACTGCATGGAGATCTGCTGGGCTATGAAGTTCAGGAGGCAGCCAATCTCCGCCCACTGGAAAAGAGAGAAAGGATAGTCATTTGAAACAGAGTCGGGAGAAGGTAGCACCTCTACTCACTGTGGCATTCTCGGGCGTCATAATCTCCAGCAGCAAATTGATGATCCTTTTGCGATGCGACAGGCCGAGCTCGTTGCTAAACTCCTTCTCTTGGAAGGCCAGCGAGATCACATTCAGCGTTTCCCTTGTATCGAACTTGAGGAGAGCTCGCAGGTAAGGATATGGTAACTCATCTCCAGCGGCTGTCTCTTTGGCCTGCTGCGAAGTCAAACATCTGAGGACATCGTGCTTCACCTGATGCACCTGCTCAACGGGAATCTCTCCACTGGGATAACCCCTGCCCGCCAGGCAACTGGATACGTAGACCAACAGGCAGTTACCCAAATCCGTCTCCTCGGGCGTCACCAGGGGCAGCAGCTCCGTCAGCGCCGCCGTATAATCATTCAGAGCCTGTGTGTTGAGGTAGATTTGGGCACGGTACAAGCGATGCTTCTTCACGGCCTTCAGGACTTGATTTAAATCCAAACACATCCAATCCAGCTTGAGGATGAGCTGCTCCAGCTTTGCCGGCGAGTGTTCCAGCCAATAGTCCACCAATGCCTGGGAGATCACAGGATTCACACTCTTTATGGTCTCGCGCTCAATGTGCTCGGAAATGTGTTGCAAAAAGAGCTCGGAGCTGGTGTTGTGCAGCTTCTCCCAGAGCTGTGTCCACAGCAGGTCCAGTTCACCCACGGTGATGAGGCAATTGACAATGGAGCCGAGACAGTAGTCGGGCGCCCGGGCAGAGTTTGCTATATACTCCTGGAAGAGCGTAATAATGCGCTCCTTGGCCTGGGCACGCTTACGGGGGCGATCCACGGAGGCCAAGTAGCCATCAAGGGCCAGTTGGCAGGCCTCTTGCCAGCGATGGTGTTTAACCTGGAAGGAGGAACAAAGAAGATTACGATTTTTCTACTTGATTTTAAGGAACTTTCTCACCAGGTAGCTTATCCTCTCCGACCAGGTCCTCACCCCTATGATATGCAGGGATCTGGCACCCAAAACATACAGCTGTGTGCCCCTGGACATCACCGAGTTGTAACAGGCATTTGAACCCGCCAGGGCAAAGGCAGGCGAAACATTTCCACCAGTGGCCAGGCCCTTGAACTGCGCCGAACCATAAACCAAGCCGGCATTTGCCATATCCATGCACTCCAGCTCCTTGCTTGATCTCACATCCACCAAATGCAGGATCTCCGAGGTATCCAACGAAGCCACGCACTTGGGACCCAGCCAGTGGGCCGACAGCAGGTTTCCCTGCAGCTGGACATGACGCAGGTACAGCAAAGTGATCCTTCCATTCGAAACAAAGAGTTGATGGAAGAACAGCTGGTTACCCCTGCCGACGACAATCACAGGATCCACCGAGCGTGTGGTATCCGCCGCTTGGATCAACACCAAGTGCCAGGCAAGCAGGGGCAGGCAATCCGGGGGTCCCTGAAGCGCATGGTACTTGATTACACGCAATCTAGGCCGCACCGTGACGATAAAGTACTTGGAGAGCGTGGCCAGGGCCACTATGCAGTACTGATCCAGTTCGTGGCGTCCATTGGCATCCATTATGAGAGGCTCCACGGCGCAGACCTCACCACGAGCACCGGAGAACAGGCAACGTGAGCTGCAGCCACGAATGCCCAATTTCCGGGTGAAACTCAGCGACCAAACAGAGCCTCCGGCGTCGGCACAGAGAGCCAGCGAGGAGCGGGAGGTCCACTTCACGTGCAGCACACCCGTATTCGGGGTTATCACATCGAACAGCTCCCGCAACACATCGCCCGTGTGCGTGTCCAGCATGATGACCAATCCCCTGGAGTAACCGGCCAAAAGTCGCGTTGAATCCGCATTGAAGGCCATGCTGGCCACAGCACCTTGGCCATGCTTGTCCTGGTGGGCCCAGCGCAGTGTTTGTGTGACATCAAAGTTGAGGATGTGGCCATGGGAGGTACCCACGGCTATGAAGGCGGCCACGGCGCAGGAACTTGCCGTCCCGGAGTTCACACGATCGGCGGCGGAGGACAGCTGCGCGGAGATTCCATGGAGCAAGGTATATCGCATGATGGAGCCACCACCGCCGCGGCCATCTGTCCTAATCGTGGCATCGTCGCCTATGGAGGGCGTGGGAGTGGCATGGTGAACCGGCATTCCCAGCTCGGAGGCCACATCCGAGTCCGCCTCGAATTCGCTGAGCACCGACTCCAACGTGGGCAGCACATCAGTGGGCGGTATGGCAAACTCCGCATCGTCCAGCTGGCAACGTAAAAAAGCCCCGAAAGACGTTAAAATCAGCACTTTTTCCGGCTAAGCCCCGCAACTTACATCCTCAAAGTCCAGCTGCAGTGATTCGGCCAGCAAGCTGTCCGTGGAGCCCCGCTCCGATTCTAGCAGCGATTGCAGCGAAGGCGCCTTAAGTCCCGACATGCTCCGCGTTTTCTTGGTCCTTAGCCCTCCCCCGAATCAAGAAATTTCGTTAATTTGTTTTTATCAATGAATTTTTACGCCCATTAAAAATTAGTGTTGGTAAACTGTTGAAAAAAGGGCACTGTCCACTCTGGCAAAATTATTGCACATTCTATTATTTTATTTTTAAAGAACAAAACTTATATTTAGGGCGACTGAATGATAATTATAGTATTCTATTATAATATCGGTGATATATTGCCATACTTAGTCAAATAGGGAACGATTCATAAATGTCTGCGACTGAATTGTTGAACAGCTGTTTTCAAGCTTTCAATGGTTAAAGTGTAAACAAAGTAAATGCAGGAATAAAATAATAAAACAGAGGTATTGGAGCTACCATTAACTAACCTTGAATTTCAAGATGAAATCGGTTAAATTGCTCTAAGAAATAGATCGTATTACATTTAATAATCTTAATTTTGATTTTATTGCTGCGCCAAATTTGGGGGAAAAAAAAAGAAAGCCACACTGAAAATATCGTTTAGCTGCTTCTAAGGGAACAGCTGTTTTCAGTTCTGTTAAGTTACACTCTTTCTGTCTGCACGTTAATAAATCTGAATTCCTACACGTAAAATGGTTTCCTTGACGTGTAAGATGTAGAATGTTGAACAACAGCTTCAGAATTCAGAGTGACCGCAACACTACCAACGAAAGAGAATACTGTTAATGAGAATCTTACATGTATCGTAAATGTGTCAAATGTTATGTAGACGTGTAAAAGGTCAATTAACAGCTTCGGAAACAGAAATAAAATACAAAAAAGTGACGAAGAATTATATTTATACTTTGGTATTTTGCTATATTTTCGACACCAAAAGTGAGAATTCGACCCCATGTATGTGTAATCTTAAAGGTCGGTTTTTTTTTACGTGTTAGACGTAAAATGTTAAACAACAGCTGCGGAATTAGAGTGACCGAACAAAAATTATAAGGATTGCTAGAAAAAAGTGGCAGAGTGGCCAAAACGAAAATATCAGATTCGCTGGAAAAATACGTCACGACACCAGTTTCAAAACAAAACTCGATGTCGTGGGGTCATAGTGCAAATTTTGTTTCCAACGCTGCTCCTCCAGCTCATCTGTGCGCGGCGAAAATAATTAAAATGTGTTAAAATGTGCGTTGATTGGAGAGCAGCAACTATTCGCGCGGTAGATAGAGGGACACCGCGATAATTGCCGTTGCTTATCGCCCGAAAAAAGCCAGAGTTCGCTGGGCAAAGCCAAAAGTAAACGCGAGTGGAAATTTCGATTTTCGTATTGTTTTGTTGTCGCGCTGCGGGGCAATGCCAAAGGAAACACTGAAACAATTGCGAAACTGGCGCTGGCATTAGTTATTGTTTAATAATCGGCCCGTGTTTGGGGCCAGAGCGAGACGGATAAATAAGTTATTTGTTTATTTGCGGCTTGCCAAATTCGTCGCTCTTTCTTGCGTCTCTCGCTCTCTCTCCCATTCGCTCTTGTGGGGCTCTCGCGTTACGCGCCTTTCATTCATTCGCGCGTGTGTTTGTGTGGGTGTGTGTGACAGTGACGTAAACAAATGCACAAAAGCGAAAGAGTGCAAGAATTTGAAAAATGCGATTGTCGATTCACGTGCCAAATAGCAGCAACAACAACAAAAAAAAACAATGAGCAGCAGCAGCAGCAGCAGAGCAACAAAACCAGCAACAACAAATTGAAATAGCAGCGTCGTTCTGTTCGTTCTTTGGCTCTCTGTTTTGTGCCTCACATTCGTTGCATTTGCGAGACTCAGCTGTGCAATTCTGCCCTTGTGTTGGTGAGCGCAACACGTTTGTGTGCGAGAGAGAAGGAGAGCGAGGCGCTCTGCCGCCGTAGACGTAGCCGTCGCTGCCGACGCGGGCAGCGTGCGTCACCGATGCGACAGGTAAGAGGAAACGGCGATTTGCCCAATTTTCCCAACACAAAATTAACATAGTTAATTACTTTTCAAATGTTGCCTATGTATAGATAAATATGAACTTATCAATTAGCAGAAAGGCGGCACCTTTGCAGGTAATTTTCCAGCACACACACACACTTACAAATACATAAATATGCAGCTTCGTTTACGCTTTCGAGATAAGGAAACGAAAACGAGTTGGAATCACGTTAATGACGCTTGTGGAGCATTCTTGCACAAACGGCGGCTCCTCTTTCGCTCCCTCTTCCACTCAGGTTCTCTCTCTCTGTCTCTGTCTCTGTGTGTTTCTCCTTGTGGCCACTTACCCCGTTCATCAGGCATTGCGTTCCACACACTTGTCGATCGGATCGGAAATCGCTGGACGACACATTTCCAGTCCCCGCCGCGCTAGTTTTTCCACATTTGTCTGAAGGGGAGATAATTGGGGAATGGGAATGGGAATGGGAATGGGAATGGGTGGTTACCTGGAATTCTCATGGGATTCGATTTCATATTTTTATGGAATATTTACGTTTTAAGTTTTAGATACTTTTCTACCTTGAGGTTGTTTATGAGCGATCTTAAAATGTAGACAATATTTTTGTATCTGTAGCTATGAAAAGAGATTTGGGAAAGAGATTTCTGTTTATATCTGACTTGCAACATTACCCTATGTTATCTTATTATTTAACAGATTCTTCTTTTATTAATGTATTTTTAGTGGCCTAATTTAATTCCATTTTACTATATCAAAGAAAATAATTAGGTTTGGGGAATAATATCTCCTTCAAGATATTAATAGTTTAAAATAGAATGGTCTAGTTTCTTTTAAACTCCTATAAATATATTTAAAGTCATTTTTATATTCCTCAAATAATAAACAATGCAGTCATTTTAATTTTATTTATTTCTGACCTTTGACTTTGTTTGCTCTCAGGTAAATATGGTAAAGAATTTGATTATATTCAGGAATGTTTGAATGTCTAGAGATTTCAATGCCGAATTATAAATTCCAAATGACGTCAGTATACAAATTTTGATTAGACTTTATGAAAATATAATCTAATGTTCAAAGCTATTTTAAAAAGAATTGGATTTATATTTCCTGTCGATTTTGTAAAGAAATAAGGTTAATATTCGACCAAGAATTAATATTATTATACAGACTTTAAACTTCAATTGCTTTATTTACAGTACGTAAAGTTAAATATCCATTTTCATGCCAAATTATTGATTCCTTAGAACAAAACCCGAATGTCTTAATAGCTTATTCCATAAACCTCGACCAAGATTTTGAAACGTGCCCAAATTTCGCATATTTCTTGGGAATTACGTATTGTTTGTAGAGTTCCGGGGGATTTGAGACCCAATAATATGATTTCCAGCTAGAGCATTCCTTATATGAGGAGCCCTGCCCCCTCTACCACTCCACTACACTCCCCCTAATCGTCGTTCTTGTTTATTATTGTTGACCATGCGCTTTTTGTTCCTTTATTTTTTTACTCGGTCTCGCCTTTTATTTTCTTCTCACTCTCTGTGTGTGCTGTGTGTGTGTGTGTTTTCTGGTCGTTCATGGTCACAAAATTTATTGGTCAACATTTTATCTTGGCCATAGCACCCACGTAGACTCCTTTTCCAGCAACTTGCAACTTGTTTGCGTCGCCTCCACCTTGGTCTTTGGTCATCTTGGCCAGTTCCCAGCTCTCTCACCGGCTCGCCCACATGGAAATTTAACGCTTCAACACGCTCCGATTTTCCTCCAAAAAGCAAAGTACAAATAAAAAATAAAAAAGAAGAATGCAAGAAAAGAAAAGTATAATTCTCTCGAGAGCAAAGCTCGCACAGCGTTCAAAACAAATATTTTCGAGATAAGTTATGGGCATATTTCGTTGGTTCCGTTTCGTTTTCCTGGCCCCGCCCCCGTCCATCTCCTAATGGGAAATATCTTAATTTTTATAAACTTGGCCCCGTGCACATAAATTATCGGTGAGCGGAATTCTTCTCGCGGCTTTCATGGTTTTTTCTCTCGTGTTTTCTTTTTGTCTCTCGGATTTTTCTCGCTTGGAATTTGTTTGTCTTGGGCATACTTTTCGTAACTTTCCGCTATTGATTACCTAGCTGATTGTTTATCTTGATGCCTCTCCGATATTTTCGGGTGCTTAAAGCAGATATATGTATCTAGAGTGGAGCCCCGCATTCAGGGAGCATCCAGCAAATTGGCAATTGCTGTGGAATGGCTCCCAACTTGTGCAGCTGCCGGGTGCATAACTCAGCAGAGGCCCTTCAGGCATTAACCCTTTGTTGCCCACATGATAAACGATAGCTTGTTAATAAATCACAAGCCAAAGCGAATGAGTGAGTTTTGTGTGTGCGTATGTATGTCCTGGGTGGTCCAGGACATGCTGAAAAAGTAGTAACAAGGTTGTCTGGCTCCTTCTTTTTTATTGCACAAGGAAAAAAATTGTATAACGTTACATTTTTTATTTTATTTGGTTTTGATTTCAAGACACGTTTCTTACCTAAAATATTACTTAAAGGCCAAACTTCGATTTAGATTAGGAATCAATATTAACACATTTTTTGATTACCCTTGCAAGGTATTAAAATTTCAGTCTGAAGCTTACAATTCACTAAAGGAGTCATTTCCGACCCTATAATACGACCCATATAATATTCTTGATCAGCATTAACAGGCGAATCTTTTTAGGCATAAAGAAAAGATAATAAAATTTTTGAAATTTTTTTTTCAGATTTTGTAAGTGACTTCTTGACCTTGTTGACATGTTGAAAAATTCACAAATTTTATATATCTTAAAAATGTATATTTTGTATGCAGATTTATTAACCTATTTAAAACTAGCACAGAACAGATTCCCAAATCGAAATTAATGCTTTTTTGGCTTAGTTATGAGTTTTTTAACATACGGACTATAGAAAAATCTTCTTATAAAAATAATTCGAATATTTACCTTGTTGAAATGTTGAAAAATCGACAAAATTTTATATATCTGAAAAGTGTATTTTATGTATGCAGATATATTAACTTATTGAAAACTAGCACAGAACAGCTTTCTGAATCGAAATTAATGAATTTTTGGCTTAGTTATGACTTTTTAAAACAATTATTTACCTCAGTGTAGTCCTGGTGCCACAACTCCTGGCTGTATGCAACATGATTGGCTCTGTGCACTCAGCACAGGATACTCGTATTTCATATGCCTTTGGTAGATTTATGAAGTGCCTTGGCCGTCCTGAGTCCTGGCCCGAGTCCTTAGCCAAGTCCTTTGCCTCGGCTGCCTTTGGCATTCTAATAATTTTTTATTGTTGTCGTTTAAGTGGCCCATTGTACAGCTGGCAACATATTGTGTGTGCTCTAGCTGCAACATCGTCCTGCCACTTGATAACAGAAGGTGCTTTCCATTCGGTTCCCATGCCCCATCTATTTTTTGTTTGATTTTGGCCCTTGCCAGCCCATCCATCCATGTGTCCAGCCATCCAACCGGCAGTTGTCCAATTCTGCATTCTTGAAGTGGACTCTCTGAGGGAAGACTTTTATAATTAGACTTTGCGATTAGTTGTGACGGCTAAACCGGAAGAACAGCTTTTGGGGCGATGACTTGACTCGAACGAGAGATTATTATCAATAATTTTAGTTAATTAAACACGGGTGAGGAATGTGTCTGTGAAGACGAACAGAAGATTTCACATTTAAGTAGCAATTTTATACAATGATTTAAATAAACAAGTATTTGGCAAGTTGTCTTGTTTAAATCTATTGATTTAGTAAGGTTTTTGGGAAGATTATTGTATTTTATATATAGAGAACTGAATAGAGCAAAGGTTAAACCTTTTTGTTGTCTTATAAATATATTTTGTGCTCGTAAATTCAAGCCGGAAACAATTTATTATGAGATCTCTGACTCATTCAGTTTTCAAGAAAGTAATCGAGGTTTCACTTAAAGAATTGTTATTATTATTTTTAATACAAATATATTAGAATCATAATATTAAAAAGTTGAACCTATTATACACCTTATCTTTATGAAATTTAATTTAATCACAACTCGTGTTCCCATTCCTCTTTTTTTATTGCAAAAATAAGTACCTTATTGTTGATAGAAAACCCCCGGTAAGACGCTTTGATGAAGAACTGTAAGTAACCAGGTACTGAACCAATTTCTTATGCTTAATGCCACGCCTCATTCCACTCTCGGCTAAAAGCCGATCTAGGACTTAATCTGGGCCCATTCTTTACGGCAATCTATTATGTCTAAATTTCAGCTCACGCCTTTCTTCTGCTCCTCTGACAAATCTCGTTTGATGCGGCTTAGGATGATGATGCATTGAGTGTCCCAGTTTCCTCTGCCGGCTGCCATTCATTCGTCCCCCGTTCATATTTCTTTCATGCTCTCGCCGAGCATTCACACAGAGAGTCAGATGGGATGCTCAGTGCATTCGACTTAGCCATTATTCCTGGGCCACGCTGACAATCAACGAGCCCCTACGAGAGGGGCCAGAAAAAGCCAGGCCAAGTGGGGATGAGGAGAGGGTTATGCGGGAAAGTGGGCGGAAAATATGGCTCAGATGAAGATGAAGAGGAGCTTCTTAATAAATGATTTGCCGCATGTTGGGGCAAGAAGAAGTTCTTGTTTTTCGTTTTTGTTTTTATATACCAAGGTAATCTTTGAATAAGAGAGTATATTCTTAAAGCATGTTCTGCCTAAAAAATACAAGAAATCATAATAAAAACCTTATAGGTTAAGATAACCTTCAAATAAGTTATTTCTTGTATAAGAGAAATTTTCCAAAAATAGCCCCGAAAAGTATACAACTCTTTTTCGCAAACCAATTGTAAGGTATTCTATGGTCGCCATATGCTTTCCCCTGTAATTTGCTGCGGGAACAAAAGCAAAATGCCAAATAAGCCGCCCGAAAAAGGTCGCATTTGCATCTGTGGGTTACCAAGGGGATCGAACATACACACA